CCCCCCCCCCCCCCCCCCGTTGATCACTTGAGCTCTAAAATTGGTTCTGTGCTCTGTTATAATTGCTTGGTCTGCATGAATTGATTATTTCGTGTTCCTTTACGTGTGTTGTTAAGTGTCTTCTCTTTGCTTTTACGGTGCAATATTTGAGTTAGGCAAAACACTACTTTATGTTGTTGGTGATCTATTGTTTAAAACATAAATTTGCTTCACCAGGTTATTAGAAGTGGCATTCCGAATTTTTGTGCTGTTGCTCTTGCACTTAATGATTTGGGGTGAGTTCAAAATTTTTAAATTCATATTCACATAATGTTGTATTATGATACATTTAATATGGAAAGAATTCCGCACCAACAAGAAATATCACAAAATATAATCCCTGAATACTCCGTACTATTTTTTAGTTGTATGTAAATAGATCTCTTTTTTTCTTAGGAAATGAATATGTGGTTGATATTTTTTCTTTAATATATAAATAAATCTCAGCCGTTCAATTCCTTAAACTGCCTGCTAAAAAGAAACGATGAAGTTTCTGTAGGGATGGAAGGAGTAAATATTATTAACTATACGCATATCATACGTTAAGTTCTCTCTGGTGTGTCATACGGAGTATTTAATGTTGAGGCTTGCGTTGTATATTTTATTATTCACACAATGTTTGCAGGTACGAAGCTGTAGGCATTAGGCTAGACTCTGGAGACCTTGCATATCAATCTTGTGAAGCCAGGAAATTTTTTTGCGCTATTGAACAAGAGTTTGGAGTGTCTGGCTTTGGAAAGATGAGCATCACAGCAAGCAATGACCTCAATGAGGAAACTCTGGATGGGCTGAATAAACAGGTAAAAGTATAAGGAATATGTCAAATATATGAGGTTTCTTTTCTTTATACGCTCTTCTTTCTAAGGAACTAAAATACGTTTAGGCTCTGCTTGTTTATAAGAAACTATTTTCATGGAAGATGTTTTTTTATTCATGTTTGGCACAAGAAAACATTCTGTAGTATTTTTTCTGGAAGGGAATTATTTTCCTTAATTCTTCAAGCTTTTATGGAGAGTGACTCTGTTTAAAAACAGCAAGTCATTTTCCTGAAATTGCTTTACGTATTCTATATTTGCAGGTCAAACATAATACCATACATACCACAACTAATTTTTCACGAAATCAAACGGAGAAGTAGTTGCACTTCATCTTTATAGTTATGTATTGGCAGGGTAATTAGTTGACCTTACTCAACAGGGTCATGAAATTGATGCTTATGGTATTGGAACTCATTTGGTCACATGCTATGCACAACCAGCTCTAGGTGTTGTCTTCAAGTTGGTTGAAATAAATAATCAGCCTCGAATTAAGCTTTCCGAAGATGTTACCAAGGTTTGTGGAAATGAATGAGTAATTATCCTGTTGCACTTATCTTGTGGCTCAATATGAAAAGTTCATTTGTGGGTTGTGGCAATGCGGATTTTCTTAGGTCTCTATTCCTTGCAAAAAGCGCTGTTATAGATTGTATGGGAAGGAAGGATACCCTCTCGTGGACATAATGACTGGGGAAAACGAACCCTCTCCTAAGGTAGTGATCCGTGAAAATATTGTTTAGAGATGCATTATTCTTTGGGTTGTGTTTTATGTACACCATTTTCTACACCACACACTAACAAGTTTTTCTGATCTGAGACATCGGTCTGTTTGTGAGAACAGAAAACCTTGTTTTTGTATAAAAGCGTGGTTTACTGGTTAACAAAAAGCATTTTCCTGAACTTCTCCCCTGGCTTGAGTGGTAGCAAGCCCACTCCCCAGGATTCATGGGGAAGTTCACCCAGGTTCGAGCCCCAGCGAAGGCAGCAGCATTGGCTCTTTGTGCGTCATTAGTCATTAGTTTGAGAATAGTATGATACTACCTTGTAATAGAGTCAATAGCATTAAAAAAAAAAAGCATTTTCCTTATTATTTACCTCTGAGTATATGGTGAAATCTTTATCATTTCTCACTTATAATGTCACACAGGTAGGTGAACGGATCCTTTGCCGACATCCATTTAGTGAATCCAAAAGAGCTTATGTGGTACCTCAGCGTGTAGAGGAACTTTTGAAGTGTTACTGGAGTGGTTCATCAGGTGAGTTGTGGATTAAGGCTTTGTTTGGAAGCCGACAGCTGGCCATTTCTGTGTGTTTCTGAAAAATGTTGGGTAAGATGAGTTGTTTGTGTGAAACAAAGCAAAAAGGCATGAACCAAAAAGCTTGAATATAGCTTTTTGTAATCAAGTGTTATGGCACCAAAAAGATTCCCCTAAAAAGTGGTTCACCAAATATTTCTTAAAGCTGCTTGGCCAAAGTCAAATAGCCTATCTAGCCCAAAAATTATTTTTAACAAGAAACATCCCAAAACGTTGGTTGCCAAACAGCCCTTAATTTAGTTTTGCCCACCTTGCACTTTTTGCAATATTGAATTTGACATTGCTCTTTTGTTTTAAAGATATAGAAAGAGAGAGTCTCCCACCCCTTAAGCTTATCAGAGAACGTTGCGTCGAGCATTTGAGTCAAATGAGACCCGACCACATGAGAAGGTTGAACCCAACTCCTTACAAGGTATGTATAAAATTTTATTATGTATAAAAATATAATAAATTATAATAAACTGAACCACGTGTGTGACGTTACTAGGTTGTAAATTGTAATTGACTAATTGTTCTGACGTGTCTGCGCTTTTTTTTGTTGAAAAAAAACTGATCAGGTCAGTGTGAGTGCGAACTTGTATGATTTCATTCATTTCCTGTGGCTCAATGAAGCGCCGGTTGGAGAGTTGCAGTAGTATCAAATGCCAAAGCGCCTCCTGTTGTACGGTTCCTCCATTCATTCATTCATTCTCTCACGTTATTCATTTTAGTTATACACATTAGATTTAGTAATAAATTTCCAGTCTCAAAGAATTATACATCTTTCTTGTTTAAGGAATTAGTGAGATGCTTCTCACTGTAATTTTTTTTCTATAAATTTTTTTCCTCATTTGTTTATATTTCATTGATTTTGTGTGTTTACTATTGGAGTATATTATTGATACAAATAGTTTTTGTCCGAGTCACTGCTCGCGGTTTGCTATGATTCTTAATGGTCATGTTTGGTTATGACTTGTGAGCATATTTTTGAGCAATATGCTCTTAGCTTTTTAAAGTTCTTTATTATTCCGTCCAAAAATATTTGCGATTTTTTTCTCCCTGAACGAACTTTGGATTTTAATTAAACAAAAACTACTCCGTGATCGACATTGAGAATCTATAATGAGCATCTATGGAGAAAGGTGTAATTGACTGCAACGGAGACCGTGGGACAACAGGATGGAAACTATGTGTTGTTATGGGTGGTTGGCGGCAGATATAATTAAAAATTAAGGCTAGATTAAACCTTAAATCCCCTTAAAAAACCATAAATCATGTAATGGCTAGGGTGTGTGTGTGTGTCTATATATATATATATATATATATATATATATATATATATATATATATATATATATATATATATATATATATATATATATATATATAACGTTACCCTCTTTGTTTTCAAATCATACTTCGTTTCTCCTCTTGGTTTTGAAATCCTACATAAGTTCTCTTTTAGGTTGAAAATGAATGAGTAGATATTACATTGTATTAGCTAGAGTTATATATTAGTGCTCAAAAAAAAGTTGAGAAATCAAAATATGTAATACTAAAACTAGCAATCTTTTTCTCCAAAAAAACAAACAAACAAAACTAGTAGCATTCTTTTAATACGGAGTTGTATTTAGTAAATTTCATCTATTTACTTTAGGTAGGAGATTCCACTCTTGACTCCTAGAGTTCATAACTTAAATTTTTATAATATTTTAAAGTTGAGTTAGACCATTTGCTTTTTACATAAATACTCTCCATGTCCCTTCATTTTGTGAAGATTAAGGTAAACTTTAGAAGTAATAAAAAAGATAGGAAGAAAGTGTAAATTCAATCGAAAAAGTAAGGTAGAATATGAAAATTATTTTAAAAAAGTAAGAAAGAGGGTGTAAAAGTGATTGGAATTTGTGTCATTTGGCACGGGATGAAAAAAGTATTATTCTTTCAGTCTCTCTAGATTTTTTACATGTTATATTCACATGAATACATGATCAAATTATATTTATATATTTTTACATATATTTATTTATAATTTGATAAAATAATACATTTGGTACTTAAATAGCACTAAAACATAATGACTTTCCCTAAATAGCACCACGTGTTTTTCTTTCCAATGTAGCACTTTTAGTCATTATGCATTAGTCATTATTCAAGAAAATATTCGTCATCACTGATATTATAGACATTATTAAGTGCTATTTAGGGAATAAAACAGTTTAAGTGCTATTTAGAGAAATGACTTAAGTTTTAGTGCTATTTAGTGCAAATATTTCTTACTCTGTATCTTTAAATTTTACAAAAGTTTTTGAATAAAATAATACCAAAATAATATCAAGAAAGAATTATACTTTGCATTTATAAAAAAATCAATGAGTGTGAGGGAATATTTACTCGCACCGCTCCTAAAAACTCTTCCTGTTTTGATTTTTTAATCAAACAGTGACACTCTTTAACCACAAATTAAACATAATCTAAATTAATAAATGTTATAAAAATTTGATGTATCAAAACTATATAATAAAATAAATCTAATTATATTAAAATTATATTATAATTCAATATACTTTTTTTCACAATCTGTGGTAAATAAAATTTAACTCTTTAACAAAAAAAATAAGACAAAAATAGTTTTTAAGGGTGAAGGTAATTAATACTTAAATTGCAATGTTGCCCTAATTGAATCACCACTTTTTCACATCCCGGGAACATAGTACATGCACAAAGGTCAAACGCCGTTAAAACATAATCATGGTTATCAACACAAGGCATACTTAAGCATGATTATTACTTCAGACCAAATATGCTTCATTATATTTTTTGGGGGTAGAAAAAAACGAGACTGCGAAAACATAATCATGCCTTTACACATTCAAACACTAGCTACTCTATCATTTTTCAGTCCTTGAAGGGAATATATGTTTCATAGTTTCAAGAAATATACCCTATGACTATGAAAGATAGAACGAAATTAAAGAAAGAAAAATGCTACCTAGTCCATATATTCAACCCGTATTTTATGAGTGTTTCTCTGTATATATACGGAGTATAAACTAATCAAAAATTCTTATAAAGAGTTTTTTTACTTATAAGTCAGCTAATGATATACTTCCTTTGTTCCATAAAACTCTTACCCTTTCGTTTTTTCCCAATTCTCTAAAATACTTCCATTTTCTACTCTCTCCGTCCCATGAAACCTTTCTCCTTTCTTTTTTTATCCGTCTCATAAAACACTTCTCATTTCTATTAAAAAGTCACTTTTACCACTTACTTTTTCATACCCTAACTATCACATCATACCTTTTTACTACTCCCTCCGTTCTCAAAAACACTTCCTCTTTCATTTTTTTCATTTCCAACAAAACATTTTTCCTTTCTATTAAAAAACCACTTTTACCCTTACTTTTTCATACCCTACCTATCACTTCATACTTTTTCTCTAATAATCAATCCATCACATCTTACTTTTACCCATCACATCAGGGGCAAAATTGGAAATCAACTATAATTTTACACTTCCTTAATTTGCCTTATTTTCAAAGTGGGAAGGGTTTTCCCAAACGGAGGGAGTAATAATCTATCCATCAAATCATACTTTTACCCATCACATCAAAAGACATTTTTGGAAATTCAATACCAAAATACACTCCTCTTAAATCCCTCCTAAAAAGCAAAAGTCCCATGTTTCAGGGACGGAGGGAGTATTAAATTACCACTTTTACCCTTACTTCTTCATACCCTACCTATCACATCATACTTTTTCACTAATAACCAAACTATCACATCTTATCTTTACCATCACATCAAGAGCAAAATTGTCATTGGAAAGTCAACCAAAATTACACTTTCCTTATTTTGCCCCAAAGTCAAAATGGGAAGGGTTTAAAGGAACGGAGGGAATATTTATATGTGCTTATAAGCCGACTTATAAATTGCTTATGAGCAATAAGCCAATAAACACCCGCACAGAGAAACACCCCTATATCTGCATTCATGATACAAAATTGACTCATATTTAGCTTCCTCCCTCTCAAAATAGGTTCTCATTGTGTTTTGAGATGTTTGAGTGATGTTATTTTTAATTTCATTTATCTCAAATTTGATGTAGAAAAGAATATAAAAATTATATATTTAAAATTATTTTACAAAATCTACAAAATAAGAGGTGACATATTAACTACTCCCTCCGTCTCACAAAACATCTTGTTTTGAATTTTAAGAGATTTAAGAGGAGTGTATTTTGGTGTTGACTTTCTAAAAATGCCCTTAAATGTGATAGATAAAAGTAGATATGATGGATAGATTAGTAGTGAAAAAGTGTGATGTGATAGATATGTTAAGAATTAGTAAGGGTAAAAGTGACTTTTTAATATAAATGAGAATTTTTTTTAGGACGGATCCAAAAAAAGGGGGGGAAGGTTTGGGAGACGGAGGGAGTATATTACTCTGGGGTATATTTTTTTTTATATTAAAAGGGTAGCAAAAATAGATTTAAAAAGTAGTTAAAATTTGACCTTGTAAATCGTGTAGGAGAACTTATTTTCCGGATGGATCGATGAAATTAAATATTGAAACTGATTACATTTAAGACACAATGGGAAGACAATTGTTGAATCTGCTCGTTGTTCTCGACCCATTGGAATTTTAACTTGGTATCAAATGAGGTTCGATCCGAGTTCGATTCTTCCTGTTTGTTTGGACGTGGGAGCTATCCGTCCGTGGATTGGATTAAGTTGCATTGGCTAGTATAAGAGATTGAGAAGCCATTCCTGCCGTGTGAGCTAGCCCCAACAAATTGACTTGTTTGTCCAATTCAAGTGATAACTAGACGAGACTAGTTACTACTTGAGCGGGAGAGTCAGAGTTCCTACATTGGGAGATAAAGAAGAATATCACTAGCATATGTAGAATGGTGAAACTCTACCTATCAGGTTTAGCTTTTGGGTTAGAAAGTGGATCCTGACTTTATATGCAAGAAGTTAATCTTACCTAACAATTTTCCCTTCATTATTTTCGTCCCACTAAAATTTTAATAAATCTGACTAGCGTTACATCGGAGCTAGCACCAATATAAAATACTCCCTCCGTCCCATAAAAAAGTTGCCATTTTGATGTATTTTTGGTCAAAAAGTTACACGCTTTGACCATAAATTAAATATAATCTAAATAAAGAAATGCTAAAAAAATTTGAGATATCAAAACTAGATCATAAGATGGATCCAATTATATTAAATGTATTTTATAATTCAATATACCTTTCTCACAATTTGTAGTCAAAGCGTGTAAATATTTGACTAAATACTATTCAAAATGGGAATTTTTTTGTGGGACGGAGGGAGTATAACAATTTTGCAAAGAGTAATGTCATTTAGGTAGTAGTATTTGAGAACTAGAATTCGTTTGAAACCTTAGATTTCAAGTCTAATATTTGAAATCACATTATTTCAATTTTCAAGTGTTGTTTGAGAAATCATAAAATTTTAACTCTAGAATTTGAATTTTGAAGTTGGCAAAGACGGTAAGGGAAGCAAGTTGATATGTATGGAATTATTGTTGTATTAAGGAAGATCACTCTTTAATTACAAGTTATAACTTATAAATTATAAAAAAGTAATGCTTAAATTTGTAAATGACATGGAAAGAGGTGTGGATTTGTAGATGAGTTAATTTTAAACTAGAAGAGTTTGGTACAAATCAAAATTCAAATTCTTTGAATTATTAGACAAATAATTTGGATCAAATTCAGATTTGAAATTCAAATTCAAATTTCCAAACATACCATTTATTCTAGGAGTGATAACATAAACTTTTCTTTTTATTGATGAAGAAAATTAAAAGAATAGGTATCTAGGAAAACATAGAATATACTCCGTATTTTCGAAAAGGGTAAATACAGTAATAAACAATTCGAATGTGGAGTGAAACACAGATTAAGCTCAAACACAACAATGAAGGTGACCACCAAACGATGCCATATTCAGTTGGTAGATATAAATGCTCTTAAATATTATATTAATAAAATTTATACAGAGTACATATTTAGTTATATGCTCCTTCCATTCGTAATAGGTTATCATGGTTTAACCGCATCTTTTGACTATGAATTAAATATAGTTTAAAATAATTAAATATTATAAAAACATGACATTTTAAAACTATACTATATCTTAAAATAAACCGAAATTTACATTATAACTATATACTTTTTTCATAATTCTTGGTTATAAAGTGCCAAAGTTTGACAAAAAAGTCAAACCGTACCAATCTTTTAGGGATAGAAGAAGAATGAGTTGTAAATTGGTAATGTCAATTACATACCTCTCTATTCCAAATACATTTCGAATAACGTGTAAAATTTATTTTTTAAAAAGTTATTTTATTTAAATATTAATAGAAAAATGAAAAGTAAAAATTACACAAATAAAAAATACACTAGAAATTCTACAAAATAAGATGCAACAAAAATATTTTATTTTATACAATGATCAACCAAAACAAGTATACAACCAAAAGTTATCGAGATGTCGAAATATTATCTGTGACATTCTTTTTTGGAGGGAGTGAGTATAATAGTGAATTGTCAATGTTGATAATGGGTGGTGCAATGTATCAATAACACAATGTTTGACTAGACTTATTTTCAAATGACTTCGTACGAAAAAATAGTTCGGGATTAAAAAATTACTTCCCCCATTTCATATTGGATGTCACACTTCAAGCAATATGTAAAATCCCATCATTTTTAAAATCATTTTAGTTATTAATTAGTATAGAAAACCCTTCTTAAGAAAACTAAAATGATTTTAGTACATAAAAAATTCAATAAAATAAGAAGTGATACGAATATCACATCATACTTTTTGGGACGAGTATATTTCTTAAAACTAAAATGATTTTAAAAATGATGGGATTTTACATATTGCTTGAAGTGTGACATCAAAACCCTTCCTCTTTCGTTTTTTTTTTGCTTTCCACAAAACACTTCTACTTTCTATTAAAAAATCACTTTTACCCCTTACTTTTTCATACCCTACATATCACATCATACTTTTTCACTAATAACCAAACTATCACATATTACTTTTTTCCATCACATCAGGGGCAAAATTGAAAAGTCAACCAAAATTTCACTTTCCTTATTTTCCTCCAAAGTCAAAACCGGAAGGGTTTTGTGGAACGGAGGGAGTAATAAATAATACTCCCTCCGTCCCAAAAAGATTGGTACATATTGACTTTTTGGGAAATTAAGGGAGGGATATTTTGGTGTTGACTTTCCAAAAATACTCTTGAAGTGATGGGTAAAAGTAGGATGTGATGAGTATATTATTAGGAAAAAGTATAAATTTTGGGACGGAGGGAGTACAAATTTGATTTAATAGTGTTTATCTTTAAAAATATTTTTAAAATACTACTCCCTCCGTCCCAAAAAGAATGGGACGGTTTGACTTTTTGGGAAATTAAGGGAGGGATATTTTGGTATTGACTTTCCAAAAATACCCTTGATGTGATGGGTAAAAGTAGGATGTGATGGGTAGATTATTAGATAAAAGGTATGATGTGATAGGTAGGGTATGAAAAAGTAAGGGGTAAAAGTGGTTTTTTAATAGAAATTTAACGGACTTTACGAGACACAGTTTTTTCTAAACGTAACAAACTTTTTGGGACGGAGGGAGTATTTTATTTGATTTAAGTAGCATTAATTGAGAGAGAGAGAGATTCTTCCAACAAAGCTAGCATCATTTATATATATAACCGCCTTTACATGACATATCTTCTCTCCAAGAAACGCAACACTACTTTAGCTTCTTAATTTTTTTTTTAGCTTCTTAATTTATCAATGGCAAACCTCACTACTTTTCCACCCCCAGAGCAAAAACATGAACTGCCAAATCAAAAAGCTCAACACGACATTATCGTCTTCGTCAGACGACCTAATGAGAACAACAAGACAAAGCCGAAGCCGCCTTCGTCTTCTTCGTGGAAATCCTTCAAGAACATCTTCAGTTGCAGGCGGGCTGATGCCGCAGCAGTAGTGGTCCCGGCCGCCGCCCCTGTCCCGTCATCCACTAAGAAGAACAGGAGCGGCGGCGTGCTCGGCCCTTGCCGCTTAATCTGCAGCTTCGGCGGGAGCGCCGCCGCTAGCAGGCGAGTGGTCCACCGGTCGGATGACGACGACGACTTTCCTGAACCGGCTGAACGGACCGCGAGCTTGGCTCGTCAGGGTTCTCCACGGGTTCCCGGAAAGAAAGGTGGCTGCCGCAATGGCGGCGGCGGCGGCGGTGGCGGATCATCTTCCAGCAGGTGGTCCTTGGCGTCCGGTTCGTCGTCGAGACGAATGCCCCTGAAAAAGCTGTCCGGGTGCTATGAATGTCAAGCCATTGTTGACCCTGCCAGGTATTCATACTCACTTTATATTTGACTCTTACTCTATAATTAAAATGATTACGTATATTCAATTTGCCTTTTCTAAATAGAAAATTAATACATTCAAATTGAAATTACTCTCTATCATACTCCCTCCGTCCCCCTGTATTTATCCACATTTGACTTTTGGAATTGTTCATCTAAGCACTTTGACTCATCAAATTCTCTCAATGTGTAAGCCTATATATAGTCATGTGTGATCTTGTTTGATTTATCTTAACATATAGATCATTAATATATAATTTTTATAATTTTTTAATATACAAATTACAAGATAAAATGGATTAAAGAAGTGCATTAGATGATATGTAAAAATGAAAGTGGACATTTTTATTGATTATTTGATCATATAATTAGACATACATGCTACATTTTGTTTTATAAAGCTTTTGGTACAATCTTAACATACAAGTATTTAATTTGTACTCTATCCGTTTTTTAAAACACTTCCGTTCTAATTTTGTATGCACCCCATAAAATACTTTTACTCTACCTAAAATGTCTAAAATATACGTAGTATCCAAAATAACTTCTACCCGCAATAAAGTACATAATGTGACGTATTTTAGACATTTTTGGTGGAAGTAAAAGTATTTTATGGGGTGTGCAAAAAATTAAGTCGGATGTCTTTTCAAGAGCAGAGAGAGTATTTTTTATTTTTATACTAATTTATAAATAAAATAATTTTAAAAAAAAAATAAATTTTGTACTCTGTTGGAAAGGAAACGATAATTTCGAGATTTAAAGGAGTATTTTCAGTCCGCCGAAAAGGGATTATGAAAAAGAATTCTGGAGGGATTAATACGGAGTAAAATATGTTCATAGAAAATTAAGGGATATCTTGATTACCATGCTAGGGTACCCTAAGGATGTATCCCAATTCCCAAAGTATATATGAGTATATATCAAAGGTATGCATAAATATTTTAATGATTTACACTGATACAAAATACTAGTCTCTCCGTCCCACAAAATTCTTCTTCTTTCTTTTTTCATCCGTCCCAAAAAATGCTTCTCTTTTCTTATTAAAAGTCAATTTTACCCATATTAATTCTTAACTCACCTATCACATCACACATTTTATCTATTAATCTATCCATCACTTCCTACATTATCCATCACATCAAAAGAAATTTTTGGAAAGTCAGCACCAAAATATACTCTCTTTAAATTCTTTAAAAGTCAAAATGAGAAGTTTTTAAGGGACGAAGGGAGTAGTTTAATAAAAAACGAACTACCATTTTGTGCCTATGCGAAACATTGCACTGGCATTGCACTAGCACAAAATGAAAGTACACTTATAGTGTATTTTTTTTTTATATAACTTTAAATCTACAAGTAGCTTAGTTCTTAATTACTCCTTCTGTCTAAAAGTAATCTTTCCATTTTAACTTTACACGCAAATTAAGGAAAAATAGAAAATGTTTGACTTTCCCTATTTGTCCTTGGATCATTGCAAAGGTGAAATAAAGTGCATGTATGAATAATAGTTAATGAGTAAAGGTGAGGGTATATATGCAATTTAAAAAAACATTTACCAATAAAGGATATAAAAAAATAATTTATGGACGAACAAATAAAGATGATAAGAAGATAAATTGTGAAGGGAAAGGTAGTGGGTTACACATTTATGGTGACAGATTGTCCAAGAGTGAATGTTCACTATTTAGATTTTGTTGGACGAGACACTGTCACACTGTATCATGCCAGCCTAGAAGAAGAACTCTCACTTCAATGAATCTTTTAGCCCCATCCCTCTAACGAAAAACATTCGATTCACATCAGTATGTAAAACTTAAACTTTCTCCTCAAAATCTAATTTACTTTTTCTAATTAACTGTACAATCAAATTTGAGAGGCTCTCAGAGATGGGACTCATCCTTTTATAGAAAAAAATTGATCTCTCAAATTTATTCTAATACGAAGTACTTACTCCATTCGTCTCTTCAATTCTTTAATTTTTCCTTTCTTTTTTTTTTATTGTTTCACAAACTTCTTCCTTTATCTATTAAAAAATCATTTTTACCTCTACTTATTCTTACCTTACCTATCACATTATACATTTTTAGTAATAATCTATCCATTACATCATACTTTTACTCATCACATCAAGGTTATTTTTGAAAAGACAATACAAAAATATTTCTCACTTAAATTTTCAGAAAGTCAATAAGGAAAAAACTTTAACGAACGGAGTAAGTATTACTTATTCCCTATTATTTATTTTTATTAGAATTAAATTGGATCTAAAACAAATTAAAATGTAACGATAATTGAATCAAATTAGAACTTATTCCAACCAGATCATGTGAAGAGAACAAACTTTTAGACCATCTCGAACCATCCTTACCAAACACAAGCTCAAAATGTAGGAAATGCCAAATTTTCAATAATTTATCTCCAACTCATTATACCAAAATTAAAATAGTATTCCCACAAAATACTTTTTATATTTTGAGAATTTAATATTGAGATACGACACAAAAATTCTGTACTCTGGAATCGCTGTAATAATACAATCCGCCTCTGTTCTTTCTTGTGGACGTAACCAACATAACGTTGGTGAAACACGTTAAATCTGTGTATCTTTACGTTTTCAGTTTGCTTCGATTACTCAATTACTCCATGTATTTGATAAATAATTAAGCTAAGTAACTCGTACTTTGTGAAGTTTTTTATGTAAATACGGAGTATATTATTTTTTTTAATCTTATGCTAGTTTTGAAATAAATTCATTAGTTAGAAAAGCATTTCAATCAAACATTTATAACCCGAATCAGAAAACATTTTCCAAGACTGGATGGAGCACTTTTTCTCTCCAAGTAAAAATGATACGGAGTATATTTTAGAACTGCACTAAAAAATCAGTGAATCAATAGATATCATAACTAAATTATCTTATCATACATATTAGGGACAAAAAGTGTAATTTTACTATAGTCATATATCTTTTTTGTCATACACAATTTCAGAGGGCGATTCTGATGCGTCGTTTGTGATTTCTAGTCGTTTTCTATTACAACCATAGTCTACAGATGTGGTCTTTCGTCAGAATTCTAGTCGAGATTCATAGTCATTATTGTTGTGGCGACATCAGAACATGTTATTGAACACAAGGTTGATGTCAAATTACCCTTTTAGTTCTCTAATTAACACCAACATTACAAATTGTAAAAAAAAAAACTCTTTGTGAAAAGGTACTCATGCCACAAAAGAAAGACTACCAAAGTAATATTTGATAATAGATGACTAAAAATATGGATGTTATAAATGACCAATTATGAAATTCACTCTTAAATAAAAATCTAATATTGATGATATGAAATATAACGAAAAATTGTAATTGATAGGTATCCAATGGCAAGAAGAACGAAATGCACATGCCCAGATTGTGGAGAGGTTTTCTCAAAGATCGAGAGCGTGGAACATCATCGAGCTGTTAGGCATGCTGGTAATTAGTTATATCACGAATTAGTAAAAAGGGTAATTTACCTAAATAAGACTAAAATATAATGACTTTCTCAATATATGACCATATAACACTGACTCAAAATGCATAACAATGTGACCCAAAATGCACAACAACGTAAAAACTTGCATTGAGATAATTTCACATAATTAATTACCTCCTTATGCTATGGTACCATTCTTATTTCTTTTTTACATGCATGCATGGTCAGTTTCCTTCTACTACTACGTACGGAGTATATATTTGAAAGATTTTAAATACATACTCTCCCGTCCCTGAAAATCTTTCCACTTTTTTTTTCATCCGTCCCAAAAAGCATTTTTTATTTCTATTAAAAAGTCACTTTTACTCCTTACTTTTTTATATCCTACTTATCACATCATATCTTTTTACTAATAACCTACCCATCAAATCATACTTTTACTCATCACATCAAAGAATGTTTTTAGAAATTCAATGCTAAAATACATTTTCCTTAAATCTCTTAAAAATCAATAACTCCCCAGTGTATTTAACATGAAAATAATGTTTTGATTATTTTTATATATTTTAATTTGATTCCATTCTACCAGTAGTCACTTTCCCTTAAAATTTCACTCGTAACACTATTTTTTTAGGAGGAAATGTAAAAATGCAGATAATAAATGTTTGTCTGCGAATCCATGGTTTATGGTTTCAGTTTTGGAGTTGGGCCCGGATGATTCAAGCCGAAATATTGTGGAAATAATATTCAAGTCCAGCTGGCTAATCAACAATAAGGACAGGCCCGCTTGCGAGATCCAACGGATACTGAAGGTCCACAACGCCCCCAGCACGATCCAACGGTTCGAGGACTACAGAGACGCCGTCAGGACACGCGCTGCCGTCTCTGGCGAGAAGAGCCCGAGGTGCGCCGCCGATGGCAACGAGCTGCTCAGGTTTTACTGCACCACCCTCGCGTGCCCCCTCGGCGCCCAAGGCTCCTCCAGCCTCTGCGGCTCCCTCCCCGGCTGCGGTGTGTGCACCGTCATCCGCCACGGCTTCCACGCCAACAAGCCGGCGGGGATCCGGACCACCGCCAGCAGCGGCGGGGCCCACGGATCCCGACGCGGAGATGGGAGCTGGGCGATGCTGGTATGCCGGGTGATAGCCGGAAGAGTGGGGAACACCGCGGCGGCGGCGGCGGGAGGTGATGGAAAAGAAGCGACTCTCGGCGCGGAAGAAGACTCGGCAGCGGCTCAAACCGGGTCGTACGACTCGGTATCCGGGTGCGGCGGGTCATACCCGAATTTGGAAGAACTGTACGTGTTTAATCGTAGGGCTATACTTCCGTGCTTTGTCGTGATATACAAAGCTATGGAATCTTAGGGTGTTTTTTATTTGTGCCGTTTGTACTACCTCATTCCCAAAATATTTGTCCACTTTCATTTTTACACATCATCCAATGTATTTCTTTAATCTATTTTATCTTGTAATTTGTATATTAAAAAAATATAGAAATTATATATTAATAATCTACTCCGTATATGTTAAGATAAATCAAACAAGATCACACATGACTATATTTAAGCTTACACATTGAGAAAATTTGATGAGTCAAAGTGCTTAGATGAACAGTTTTAAAAGTCAAAACTGGACGAATACTCCGGGACGGAGGAAGTACTATTTACTGTCTTAGTGATTTATTATCATATTTGAAAAAATTCTCCCTCCGCCCACAAATAAACTTTACATTGCGCATTATGATGTTTGACTGAAATTATTTTCAAATCATTTTATATGAATATTGGTGTAGAATTGAAAAATAAAAATTACGTAGTACATATTAAAAAACTATATTAGAAGATCTACAAAATTAGAAGTGACATGATTATATTATTTTATCAAATGGGTGACGAAAATAGGCCAACAAAGTGAATAAAGTCTGACCCTGTGAATAGTGAATGCAAAGTTTATTTGTGGACGGAGAGAGTATTAATTTTACTTGTGCCATTCAGGGTGGAACCAAATTTTTGTCAATATTGAAATTTTTTCAATGCCATATTATTTTAGGATAAAATATATATATTTCGCACATGATTTTTAATACTACATACAAAAATACCAAAGTAGAATTAATCATATTTGAAGAATTAATACCAAACTTTCTGAAAGTCTTCAATCTATAAACTATTTTTGGTTTGATTGGAACTGTTTTCATGGTCATCTAAGAACTAATGTTTTTAATTCTGTCTTTGTCTTCACTCGTAAACAGTAACATAAAGTTAACCATGAGTGACGACCAACTTGATTAAAAATAAATCAACAAATGATAATATTTGATTTTAACTTTTGTTGATAGTCATTGTAAAACATAATATTATTGGGAATTGTATTCTCTAGAACTTCAAGGGTAGTCCTGAGTCAAATGATACCAAATTCATCTCAGACATGTAAACTTTTTTCCAACTCGATTTCCCAAAACCACAATAGCACCGATAAGTTTTTTTGTAACTCTTCAACAATTAATCTTGTATCATTACATAATTCAAATGTTTGGTCAATGTTCCTCAATAACATAACTGGTACCCCTTTTTAAAATTATTTTATGGTTTGGGATCCTCGAACATTTGATTTCATTCAAAAACTTAATTGTTATCTAATCGTCACCAACACCTACATCTGAATATACTTGTCATGAAGAATCAGAACTTAAGTTTGCCATTTCATCTTCGGGATGATGGATAGGTCAAATTAAATTACCATTTTTACAACATCAAGCGTGGGTGCCAGTAGTGCCCTATCCTCAAAAGAAAATAACTTTTCATATTTTCTAATATGTTTCGATAAGTGAAATCTGTTATATATTCTTGAGGGGAAAACTTGTATCTAAAATCAAGAATTCAGACGATAATAGATTTCACTATCTAAAGCTTTCCGTCTTTAACTTTGATTATCAGAAAAAACTTGTGTGTCCATATCTCTGCAAGAGGATGTAGATGAATGCAATCTCATATTCTTCGTAAACATATAAACTTTACAATACGATCACATTTTTGAAGAATTGATGTTACCACTTACAATTTCTTCTCTTGAAGCTCTGAGAAAACGCGAAGAATTTGCTGAAAATTATCTCATTCCCCCATTGAATGTAGATGGTAGAATAATTCGTTGCCAATGGCTGCCGATAAGGTATCACCCCTGATCATAGCTTCTTGTATGCCACTAATAACTATTCCACTAACTTGATCCTGGTTGAACCGTATCCACTATATTTTTTGTACTTCAACCACCCCGTATGCATCAATCAAAAACTGTAAATATAATCTTTGTGTAAGTAATAGGATATCACCATCTTTTTCTCTTGTATTCGAAATGCAACAAATTCTCGATGAGATCATTAAATGCTTTACATTTTTTCTTAAAATTGATTTCCTTATATGGATATTTTCTTGATATTCATCATTCCCAAAAGGAAACAACAAAGGATATTACAGAGGTATGAATGTAGAGTGTGTCACATGAATTTTTTGTAAGAATCCATTTCTCTTTGTCATAATTGTGTCCCTTTCTTCATTAGATGAATCAAAACCTCCAACTATTAGAGCAATCATTTCGTCTATTGTGGGGTTACTATAATTTCTCGACTCTCTAGTTTACTTCTCAACAGCCTCATTGACACATTAGAAATGAGTTCATTATTCATGAAGTCTCTAGCTCTTTTAAAATTTTGTGCTAAAACATTATACTCATCAATCATAATTTTCAAATTATAGACTAAATTTCTTTCAGTTGCCGAAGAATTATTCTCTCTACTCTATATAACAAAGGTAACGATTTATTGTCAAACACATGCAAATAATACATGTATTAAAGGGGTGCACTTAATAAAATATTTGAGATATTTGAAATGAATCATTCTGCTTAATATCTTATTTTGTGTATAATAAATATATTATTGAGTAATCTTGGTCTTTCATAATCTTGTGTCAATAGAGATGTTATGTGATGATGATTGTGGCCGCTAAAAGTAAACTTCAATGTTACCGCCACTGTTCATTTGGTATTTCCAGTTCCCTCACGGTATCCTAGTATCGGGTGGCAATATCTAGGTACCGTTTGTCGGTATAAGTATCGTGACAAGTACCGCCTAACAGTGACAGTTTGTTCCCAAAACGTTTAAACATTGAGGACGAGGTCCAAGACTATATGTGTTACATGACAGTAAGTTTGAGTGTCAATACCCAATATTAGGCAGCTATTTGTTTTGATTGTAATTGTTCTGTGTTAATCCAACACGTATGTTATGATATGAACTATCTCTCTACTTGAACGCAACGATAAGGGCAGTCTGATCCATCACGCCAAAGTATAGGTCATGTGGTGTTTATCCAATACTACAAATGAGGTAGATCTGCCTAGAAAAACTCTAAGACTGACTCAGTATGAGGATGGTAGAAAGTAAGCCATGTGAGCCTGCTGGGCCCAATGGCTAACCGGGTAAACACATGCATACGAGTGTCCTTCAACTGTCTGGCGATCTATCATGTGGAGATTCCAGTCTCCTAAGGGAGAACACCTTCGTTGGTTGAACATGCCTCGCTGATCCAGTAGAAACAATCATGACTCCAAAATGGAGTCGTGAACAAATAACTACATTTTCTTTCTTTTTTTTCTCGGTGAATTGTATTTTTTTCTATGTATTCTATTTTTGAATTTTTAGTTTACTTTTTAAATATTTGTATTGTCTAATTTTTCATCAATGTAAAATTATACTCCCTCCGTTTCTTAAAACCCTTCCTCTTTCATTTTTTTTTGTTTTTCTTAAAACACTTCCCTTTTCTATTAAAAAACCACTTTTACCCCTATTTTTTCATACCCTATCTATCACGTCATACTTTTTCACTAACAACTAAACTATCACATCTAGACCTAGCAAAAAATGACCCGACCTGTTTTTGACCCGAAACCCGACCCGAAAATACTGGGTTTTGAACAAAGGTTTTGCTGACCGAACCCGAAGTTGACCGAACCCGAAATGACCCGCTAAAAATGGGTCAAACCCGACCGAACCCGACCCCGACCTGACCGACCCGCAAATCTAAGATTTTTTCAGAATCATACATTTTAATATGAAATATAGTGTTATAAAAATAAGATTATGATAATATTTCTTTGCTTACAACTCATTTTTTGTGTATAGATTTATAACATCATAACACATTTTAATGATGTCGCATACTTATCTTACATTTTCTCAAAATTTCTACATATTTAATTTTTTTTATTCGTAATATTGACACTAAGTCATAAAACTTACTTAAAATTTCAAAAATTTAATGAAACTCATAACCCGTTGGGTCAACCCGAACCCGATGACACTGGGTCATGAACATGTAGTTATCAACCCGAACCCGAACTTAACCGAACCCGATGTAATCCGAACCCAAGGTGACCGAACTCGAACCCGACCCGACCGACCGATTTGCCAGGTCTAATATTCACATCTTACTTTTACCCATCACATCAAGGCAAAATTGGAAAGTCAACTATAATTTAACACTTCCTTATTTTCTCCCAAAGTCAAAAGAGGAACTTTTTTGAGAAACGGAGGGAGTATTTCAATATAATTTTTTAATATTTGTTTAGTTTTCATTAAAAAAAGGGTCAAGTCGCCGTTAAGCCCCTCATTCCACACAAGTGATGGCCAGCCATAATACATGGCGAGGGGATGGATTTTACGCCAGACCGGGGGTCCTCCGTTCAGAGCTCTGACTTCTCATTTCAGTCGAACCCAATTTTCCAGCCACCGTCCCAGCCGGCGGCGACGGAGGGAGAAAAGTTTCTCATTTCCCTTTTCAGCGCGTGCCTGATTCAACTCGAGCACTTGATCCATTTTACCCCCGTCACAATGGTATGCACTGATTTTGATCAATAGCTTTTGAAACTTCTCACAAATTCCTCTTCTTAAGAATCCGTCACGAATCTGTTTTTTATTATGCATGAAATGTCCAGATCCGATTCATACTGCTCCAGAACCGGCAAGGGAAGACGCGATTGGCCAAGTATTACATTCCTCTCGAGGAATCTGAGAAGCACAAAGTCGAATACGAGGTACTGTATGTGTGTCTGGACCTCTTAGTTGCGTTCGATTTCGACTTGTTTCTTGTTTTAACACTGACTGTCTGGGTTTTGCTTGCACGATCTGTTTGTTTAGGTTCACAGATTGGTTGTGAACAGAGATCCCAAATTCACCAACTTTGTTGAGGTGGGTATGCCAAATTCTTTGTTTTTATTCTATACATTCTTCATCCTCAGTGAGATATAGCTTCAACTTTCTTCTTGATCTGTATCCCTGTATTTTCTGTAAGCACATCCCCCCTCCCCCCGCCGCGCCAAAAGAAGGGTATAATGGCATTCACATATTCGGAGTATCATCTTATATTAGTTCCAAGGATAATATTTGTACCGAGAGCGAGGCAATGCTTAAATAGGTTGCCTTTGAGGTACATTTCAAAGTGCATGTGTGATTAATTTGGCAGGATATGTTATACCATGAAGTTCGGAGTATATGGATTGTTTTGTTTGCATTAGAAATAGGACTCATAGGAGTGAAATCAACTTTCACTTCTTGATTGGTTTTAATAGCTACAGATGGGAGAGGACACACACCAGTTCTCATATTCTGCTCTTAGCCTCTTGCTTTGTGAGGGAGCATAAAACTTGGGGATGCCTATAAAGGGGAGCTATTTTTTTTATTTCATAAGAACAATGAGTTTATAAATTAGATTTTCTTATCCAAGCATGTAAAATGGGACCTTTGGTGGTTTTCACGTTCTGATTGAGGTGTTGTCATGTGACCATGAGGTCATGGGTTTGAATCTTGGAAGCAGCCTCTTTGTGAGTAAACATTGGTTGGGTAGCTTATTCTGAAATCCAACTGATGGATGCCTGCACAAATTCCACCGTGTATTCCCTTAGCAGTACATGTGGAGTGGTCTTTGCCCAACAATTCTATATTTCTATTCTTCTTTTTCATACCATATTTTTTGTGTATTCATTTATCGATTTTATTTTATGAATTGGGTTTGAGTCTTGTAAGTAGTGTCTTTGTGAGTAAAGTAGTAAAGCTTTACAGCTTTGGTTAAACATGTCTGTCACAAAGTGGTGTTTAAAGTTCTCCCTTAACCTTTTTCGCTTTCTGGATTTGTATTCTCAGTATTTACCGTGTAGTAAACTAGTACTCCCTTTGTCCGGATTTAGTTGTCCACTATTCTATTTAAGCTGTTTGGAATGATTTCTTCACTTACATTAGTTATCATCAAAAGTTGGTGGAAGTACCAATAGATCCTTGAAATGAAATAGACACTTGTACATGAACTTGGTGGTTGAAGAAGATGAGGAAATGGATTAGAGGGACAGTTTTGTCTATTCACCTTATATCTTACATTTGAAGGGTTGGGATGGACAAGTGGACAACTGAATCTGGATAGGCAAGTATAATATTTTCTCAAGCCTGCACAGGCAGTAATGTACTTTCTATGGGTTTTTTCATCTTCAGTTCCGAACATACAAGATAATCTATAGGCGCTATGCGGGGCTATTTTTCTCGCTCTGTGTTGATATAACAGACAACGAGTTGGCTTATTTGGAGTGCATCCACTTATTTGTGGAGATCTTGGATCACTTCTTCAGCAACGTGTGTGAGTTAGATTTGGTCTTCAACTTTCACAAGGTTAGACATTTCTTCCTATGCCTCATTTGATATTCTTGAAGTGCATTCGTTTGCATTAAAAATGTATCACTTTCCCTACAAAAGGTATACCTGATTCTAGACGAGTTCATTCTTGCTGGGGAGCTCCAAGAAACAAGCAAAAAGGTAAGAATTTTATAACTTCTGATTTTATTCTCGTTTTTCTGCGAATCACGCGGATTTTCATAACTTGCTTAGCTCCTTAAGTTAATGCTTGCTTTGCACTGACATTGTTGGAATCTTCTGGCTAAGTGCAGGCCATCATAGAGAGAATGGGGGAATTGGAAAAGCAGGAGTGAAGTGTGGTAGACAGCAGTTGTCCCTGTTTTTTTACTATTTATCTTGCAGTAAAAAAATATACGTTCACCTTGACTTGTCATCAGAGTACACCTGTGTTTTTCTTGTGCTTGTTTTAATTAGATTTGAATGTGGATCCTTTGTCTCCACTCTACCTGTAAATGGGGTTGAATATACTTCTGCTCAGAATGGAGGTTTTCGTTCATTTTTCTTTTGCCCCATACACCCTTCGAAGGAAGTTGATTATTCGCATTGGAAATGTTTTAGATTGCTTATGCAAAAGCAATTAGCTTAAACAAGTCTCCGTTTGGCACACAAAATTTAAGCCATGGAATTGGAATTGAAGATTTCAATTCCAATTTTAATGTTCGGTAATACAAAAATAGGTGGATTTGGAATTGAATTCTAATTTCAAAATTTTCATATGAATTCAAAAAAAAATGTGGATTTGGTAACATAAAAATATCTACATGTGAATTTGGAATCATAGTAGTCTTTTAGGCAATATATGACAAAACATCTTTGCCACATTGCAAAAACCCACAAATACATAATGACCTTGTATACTCTCCTTGCCTAGTTTGGTTGCAACATATTGGGTGATAATATAAGTACATCTACATTCTACTCTGTGAAGTGTATAAACTGAAGTGGCACCATGCAGCAGCCTAGACAGCAAAATGTATACCTATTGAAAGATGGGATTCCAACAAAGCAAAGTGAATACCCTCCCAAAACGGCACTCACTAGTGTGCCATTTGATTCTTACACAAAATCTTGATGTTAGACTACGCCAGATGGAATGCGCATCACAAGACTCCCACCAAAAAGGCTGAAACACAGACAAAAATAAACATCTCAATTCAAAAACCGCCGAGATATAATAGTATATACTCTCTCCATCCGAGAAACAAAGTCATCCTTTGACTTCATAGAACTCATTTAGAAAAGAGAAATATTTTGAGCCACATTATTTTCTTCAAAAGAAAATGTGAATCTGAGAAGTGTGACTTTAATTTTGGGACAAACAAAATAGGAAAGTGTGACTTTGTTTTAGGGAAAGAGAGAGTACTCGGTAAATAAAAATGTGAAATCAAACTAAGGATGGGATCACATCCTTCATTTGAGGTTAGAACATACCATTGAACATAGTAGTAGCAGAAATCAGCCAGGATAAAAGTTTGGACAATTTCAGAAAGGATGACCATTGGTGGCCACATTCCATTACCTAAAGCTGTTAACAACCTTCCTCGGGTATCTATCATCTACATAAATGTTTCATACCATTTATTACTAACCACATTAGAGATACACAACAAAACATTACAGCGATAAGCAGCAAGGATAGGCATATATATGGCATAATCAAACCTGGAGAATCCAGTGTGCACAGCTAAGGAACCTTGAAACTCCCAGTGCAAAAACATAACTTGCGGTGAATGGTTCAATAACCTTAACAAAAAAAAATTCACAGGTCGAATTATGGTATGATAAGGTTCCATAACTTGAGAAGAGAACCGAGTTTTACTGTCTTTGGAGTACCTTTGTATTCTGCATGACATGCAGTTGTGGGAGTACTGAAACAGCTTCCATATACACACAAAATGCCCAGCAAATGCGGTTGAATAAGTGATGGTTTGTGGATGGGTGGATAACTAGAGCTAGTACAACACATGGTACAACCTGTTCCCATAGGCCATATGAAATGAGCAAAAATAAGGAGAAATTATATACCAGGTATATCACCCCCACCCCAATAGAAATAATAATAATAATAATAATAATAATAATAATACTGTAATAATAATAAATGAAATAATAATATAATAATAAGGCACGGGATAACTAACCAAATAGTACATTGAAAATGTATCTTTGTCATCCATAAAGCTGGAATTCAACTTAAAGCGGATGGTATAAATGACCCATATGGTTGTTGCCAACGTAGCCAAGTCAAGCAGCGTATGTATGTCATACTCCATGACAATACTGCAATAAAGTCTTACCGCTAAAAACAAAGCTGTGAGGTCCTGTGATTTCAGTGAAAGTCCTGAACAATGTTGATTTAATAAAACTCGTTAATAACATGAGAATAACAGCCCCTAGAAAGGGAAAGTATTTAACAGAATAAACAAGAATTGAATCGCCACTGACCCCAAACTAGTCGGGACTAAGGTGCTGATGATGATTGATGAAGACGATGATAATGATAAACAAGCATTGCAATCTTTTGATAAATTTGGATAACAAGTAAATAGACACTACATAACTTTAGGAAGAGCTTAGGCATCTGGCAACTATGCAAGGTCTTGACACTCTTGAGGTCAGATTCTAATATGGAGTCATAAGCATACTTATACTTAAATGACATCATCTCTGATTCGCTGAAATTTTACACATTTTGTCTTATTTGAAAAAAGAATTATAAATCACTTAAAAGGACATATCCTTTTACATGTAATTAGGTTCATTTTAATGATGAATATGACAGAGGCAAGTGACATATCACTATATCAGTGACACTGTGTTTTGCATATGCTTCATATAAACTTAGGAAAAATGACAAGCACAACCTTTGGGGCTATGTTTAAACTTTAAAAATTAATCAGAGGAGAGTACTCTATTTAAATTTCATGAAATAACCAATCAATTACAGAGTAATTATTTATTTAGGATAACATTTGATAAATAACGGGGTATCTGTTATTGAAATGCTAAAAAGAAATAACATCCCCAGTAGGATTTAGTTAGTTCTTCAGGAATCGTCAAGAATGTTCTTCCCCAATTAATGCTTAAAGCCTTAAACCCAGCCTTAAGGGTTGTGCTAGGTATTTATGAGCATGCAATTGACATGGATGCACCATTTAAATTTCTGCATAGTGCATACCAAATGGGTACCTTCAAGCAATAGAGATATTGGAGTTTTACAGTTTCGCACAACACCATCTCTCAAGAAATTATAATTTTTGTCCCTTCTTTTCCATTTTTGGTGTGTTCCGAAAAATTTTCCCACAAGCCAAATTTGGTATGAATTATGTGGCTCAAGTCAATTCACACTTTACAAATTCAATAACAATCACACAATTGCATTTTTTTCTGAATTTTTGTGCCATTCTGCCATGTCCTAAAAATAGTGGGAGAGAAGAAGTCATTAATTACTAATACAGAAATATCAAAAAAAAAAAAAAAGATTAACAAAAAAATTAGAAAGATATTCCTATACATTTTAAAGTATCTTAATCATATTTCAAATTTCCAAGTAAATGGGGATCAAAAGGAGACACTTTAGCAAAAGAAGCTCTGGATCATGCATTTAATATTGTATATTATCCAAGTCAATCCAAGCTTGTCTCTCTTTGAGACAAGATCATGTCATTCTTATATTATGGTATAACATACGAGTATACGAGTATAATTTATTTGTATAATTTAAGGTTATGCACCAAAAACCTTTGACCTTAGGGTCACACAGACGTTGATTGAAAAATGCAACACGGTTATGCAGGCAGAATCATGCATCATAACGCTTATCCCCCGCCAGAAACACTCTGTCCGTGATCAATTCTATGAAACTCTTAATAAAGGCAAGCAGGTAAAGTGGCCTGTGTTCATAATTCAAACCGGTCGAATTAGGTTTTTTTAAAAAAAAAATTAGATTGACATGCTTATTAAGGGTACTCTACAAATTAATTTTGAAAAGTGAGGCTAATGCTAAAACAAAACTGAAAACAGAGCCTGATATGGTATTCTACATAACTGCAAGGTACATAATAAATTCAACAATCCATTGCTTGATCTCTATGCTGTAAATGGGAAATTTCGCAAACTTCTACGTTTCTCCAGAAGGAAAATTGCAGAGTAAAATGTCACAATTTCCCGAAAATTGGCTTCAGAAGTCAGGTCAGAAATGGCAAAATCATTAAGATTGGAGTAAAAATTAGGAGAGGGAGGCAAAATAATTATGACGGAGCGTACCAGCACAGGTTTTTCCCTTGGTGAGCTTGTAAATGAGGAGGGAAATGCCGATGGCGTGGACGGCCTCGGCGGCGATGAAGAGGTTATCGTGGTCCTCGACGACGAGGCGGAGGAAAAGGATGGCGGAGAAGGCAACTGCCAGTGCCAGAAACGCCTTCACCTTGGGCGGCTGCGCCTTCAGCCACGCCTTCACGGCGTTGATCGGCTTCTTCGCTCCCTTCATTGCGGTTTGCCTTTCACTCCGTGAATTCAGAAAGGGTGAAAAAACTCCCTCCCTTCAACAATGCTTTTTGTATTTGTATCCACCAAATTACACATAATAACCTTTTTTCTTTTTCTTTGTTCTCACCCACAAATCATACATGTGCAATTGTGTATTGGTATGATTCTTAGGTGGGCAAAAAATTGGAACTACTATTGTACCATACTGTACCGTAGTGATACCAAATCTTTTATAGTGTTTTTAAATGGGATTGATTTTTTCCATCCCGAACCGATATCAAACGAGACATGACAATGATACAAAAATTTAAAACCGATTATTACGGACCAAAACGTTCAAAGCTACGAAGTATGTCTAATACTTATTTGTCTACTTCATCTTCACATATATGGAGTACTTTGCATTGTACTATTCTTTTTTTAATATTCTTTGATTGTTATTGTTGTTACTGTATTTATTATAACCACGAGCATTACTTTTTGCAAGTATTAATAGTCCAATATTTTACTCCATATATATTTTATTATTACTGTATTTTAATAATATTTTGAAGTATCATTGGAAAATAAAATCTTATCAAGTACTCTGTATATTTTAAATTTGCACTCATTATCTTTTACGGAGTATTCTTCATGTTTATAATCCTTTTCAATTCAAAATCATTATTTGTTTAAACAAAGTTGTGCATTTTCTTTAATATTTTTTGAGTAATGTATGTTCAATTTTTTGATACGATTTGGGCATGAATATGGTATTATATCGTTCCAGTTCAAAACAAAATTACCGAATAGTTTTGGCGTTCATCACGTACTGATAACGAACCGTTTAAACAAGAATGGTCCGCAATAGGTTCTGGCAGACATGCCCATCCATTATCATTCTCAATTTGATTTTTTGTTCTAACATAAAAATGTGACCTCTTTCTTCCCTAAAAGACTCATATTTCTCAATATAGTATACTTCATCAAAAAAGACTTTTCATTTTCTTTTCAGTTTTGAAAATTTTTATGTCACTCATAAGCTTTCTCTCGTATATATCACTTTCAACAATTAAATATTGCTTTTCTTAAACTTTGTACCAAACTAACATGGAAAGAACGAAATATATAAAAAGATTTTTATAGACCCATCATCTCAAACCTCAATTCTCAAAGGTTATTCACTAGTACTCCGTATTTCTTTTTTTACTTGTTTTTATAACAATTTGATAAAATAACACAGTCTTTTCACAACTTATTTTATGCAGTATTTGATTTAATTTTGAAATATATAGTTTTAATTTGAATTTTATACCATTTTTATATAAATCGCATTGGAAATGATTTCAATCAACTATCGTAATGATGTAATCCGTTCTGTGATTTTAGTTATGAGATAGAGGAAGCATATATATATATATATATATATATATATATAAACACACACACACTAATGGAATCCGCTACTCCAGCACACCGGTCTGATGAACACATTATCAGACCAACACCATGACGGTAGTAAATCCGATAAATAAATACAAATATTTATTTAAATATAGTATAAATTAAAGAAGTACTCTCTCCCTTCTAAAATCTTTTTTACATTTGACTTTTTATGTCAAACTTTACAAATTTTAACACTCTTTGATGAAAAAAGTATATTTATATTAAAATGTAAATTTAAGATGTAATTTTGATAGATCAGTTTCCGTCATTTACGGAGTATTTGTGTACAAATATAATTAATAATGGTCAAAGTATCTTGTTGGTGACCATGAAAAATTAAATATAAAATTTTTTTCGGGGCAGATGGAGTATGTTTATTTGAATATTCAAATTAGATAAAAGGCACGATTCTTTTTAGATGACATCATGCCAATATGGGATTTTTTAAATTAATATTTCGAAATTGTACATAGTACATAAATCATGCTTCGAGAGCCGCTAATGGAGCTCCTAAATTTCGAAGAAAATGATATCTTTGTGTGTATTGTACTTGTAGTAGCTAATGGATCTATTAATGGGGGACGCTCACCCCTGACGTTCCCACATCCTGGCCCGACAGGATAGCGAGTGGGTAAATTATGATAAAATTTTAAACTCATTCCTAGAGAAGTCACCTCGTGTTCGGTGATTAATGGAGCTATTAATGGTCATATTTGTTGTGGACTTTGGTCCTTTTAGTTGTAGCAGTCCTATATATTGTTGGAATGTTGGCCACGGCTCTACTTGTACACACGAAGACCCCTAATTGTCCCTCTGTTTAGTACACTACTAATACTTTTCTTAATTGAGTCAAGGCAACACCAATAATAATGTTTGAATGATTCTTTTGCAACAATGAGCTTTATGTCATCTTATTATGATCGATTAATGAATTAGGAGAAAATATGTATTCTTGATGTACTACTTGACAACTTTATTATAATAAATTTTAGTTTTGGCTACATGTAAGTAACAAGTTGGGACATTATAACGTATACTCCTTTTGTATCATATCCGAGTATTATATGCCTTCATTTAAAAGTCTAGACTACTGCTTCTTCATCTGATCCTATGAATGAAAAACTGGGAATCTAGAAGTATATGTTCCACTGATAAAATGTTTTTGTTTTTTAAATGCTCATCTTTCCCATAGACAGTAAAGAAGTAAAGAAACAGTATAACACTATAACTTGATCAAAAAAGAAAGAAAGAAAGAAATACATGTAGTACATTTTAACAATAAGATGGAAACACACATGCAAGAGAAGAGAGTTCATCTGGATAATGTATGGAGAAGAATTTAATTTCAAGAAAGAAAAGAAAGAAAGAAAGAAATTAAACATTCATCATACCATGCATGCATCACTTCGCACTGAACTTTAATAGAGGAGGTGGACCTGTTTTTGAATTTACTGACCATACCCTTCATGCTCCTCCAACTCGCCTTCCTCCTCCTCCTCATCGTCGGCGGTGGCGTCCTGGTACTGCTGATACTCCGCCACCAAGTCATTCATATTGCTCTCCGCCTCGGTGAACTCCATCTCGTCCATTCCTTCCCCGGTGTACCAGTGCAAGAACGCCTTCCGCCGGAACATCGCCGTGAACTGCTCGCTCACCCTCCGGAACATCTCCTGGATGGACGTCGAGTTCCCCACGAACGTCGACGCCATCCGGAGCCCGGTCGGGGGTATGTCGCACACGCTCGACTTCACGTTGTTCGGTATCCACTCCACGAAGTAGGACGAGTTCTTGTTCTGCACGTTGATCATCTGCTCGTCCACCTCCTTGGTGCTCATCTTCCCCCTGAACATGGCCGACGCCGTCAGGTACCGCCCGTGGCGTGGGTCTGCCGCGCACATCATGTTCTTCGAGTCCCACATCTGCTGCGTCAGCTCCGGGACAGTGAGGGAGATGTACTGCTGGGAGCCGCGGGAGGTCAGCGGGGCGAACCCAACCATGAAGAAGTGGAGACGCGGGAAGGGAATCAGGTTCACCGCCAGCTTCCGGAGATCGGAGTTCAGCTGGCCCGGGAACCTCAAGCAGCAGGTGACTCCGCTCATCGTTGCAGAGATCAGATGGTTGAGGTCACCAACTACATACACACACAGTGGAAAAAGCAAAATACATGAGTTGTTTATTATAAACTTTTAGTTTGTGATCTAGTCTACTCTTATTGCAATTTAAGAATCACAATACGGATTAACTAATAAGCAAAATTTATAAGATGAACATAGCAGCACATATAAGTCATCCAAATTCCAAATCTCTCCCTGCTAAACCCCTCCAAAACCATCCACCCAAAGAGATCAATAAGAGTCAATAATGCTCGATTTAGTCCATTAGCTATAAACTATTACTCTCTTTGATCTTCAAATCAGTAATTTGGACCTAATTTAGATCTTGGGCATGTTTTCCTCTATTTAAGAGGTATTTTCATCCAGGGAAAACTGATTTAGATATAAATACATTTGATAAAAGAGCGAAAATAACATGCATAAGTAAAACTATATACTCAAGGCACTAAATTGGGCATTAATTGTTCAGAATAAAGTTTACTCACAGCTTGGGGTGCTAAGCTTCAGAGTCCTAAAGCAAATATCATAGAGTGCTTCATTATCAAGGACCATGCATTCATCAGCATTCTCCACCAGTTGATGAACTGAGAGTGTAGCATTGTATGGCTCCACAACCGTGTCGGAGACCTTGGGTGAGGGGAAAACAGAGAAGGTGAGCATCATTCTGTCTGGATACTCCTCTCTAATCTTTGAAATCAACAGAGTCCCCATCCCAGATCCAGTACCACCTCCTAGCGAGTGGCAAACCTGGAATCCTGCCGAGACAGAAAATCAAGAGCAAAATTAGGCAAAATCTTATGATCACATAGTCAAATCATATTTTCCTTATTCCAATAGTAAATACAGCAAAAAATCAAAGCATCAGACTAGCTCCGGAAATCAAACAACAGAGATTCTCCACATTCACACTAGTTTCGATACTGAAAAGCTCCTTAACTAAACCCTAGCAGATTGGAGAATGTGCAAAGCCAATCCGGGATTGCAAATTTGAATTATAGAGCAAATTCATCTGGTTTATCGTGAAAGATAACACAAACACATGAATCTAAATAGCAGCGGTACGAAATCTCAATGTGTGAATCAGACAGATAGGATCGATGATCCTTGGGATGAAATTAATAATAATGAAATGAGGCAGGAGTGGATGACAAATTAACCTTGCAAGCAGTCACAGTTCTCAGCCTCCTTACGAACAACATCGAGAACCGCATCGATCAACTCAGCGCCTTCGGTGTAGTGACCCTTGGCCCAGTTGTTTCCGGCACCAGACTGTCCGAAGACGAAGTTATCAGGCCTGAAGATCTGGCCGTAAGGTCCTGATCGGATACTGTCCATGGTACCGGGCTCCAGATCCATGAGGACAGCGCGGGGGACATAGCGGCCGCCGGAAGCCTCATTGAAATAGACATTGATGCGCTCGAGTTGGATGTCAGAGACGGCGTCGGCGGTTTCTCCGCCCTTGTAACGGCCGGTAGGATCAACGCCGTGCTCGTCGCAGATGACTTCCCAGAACTTGGAGCCGATTTGGTTGCCGCATTGGCCTCCCTGAATGTGCAGGATCTCCCTCATGATTGATCGATTCTCTCTCGCTAGAATTTTTTGATCGGAGATGGAGTGGGAATGGGAATGGGAGCGAGAGCGTTTCGAAAAGAGGTTGAACGAGTGAAGTGAAGAAGAGTTGGGAAATGGGAAGACGTGACAGTAGAAAACGGACAATATAACCGCTGGAGCCAGGAGTGGGCAAGGCTGTGGGCTCCATAGTTATGGCTATTTGATTCTAATAATTTTTCTACAAATTATAAGAATTAGGTGGCAAATATTTGCTCTTTGAAATTATTTATTTACAAATTGATATATCAATAAAAAATAAAATTACATTTTGAAAAAACTTCAAAAATTCTATGAACGAGAGGTTACAAGAATATTTCATTTTATCAAATACTCAATGAAAATATGAAAATACATAAATAAACTAAAATTATTGAGAGGAGAAAAAAAAGATTGTAATCTATTTCAGGACAAAGAGAGTATATAACTATATTTTACGGAGTATTCGAAAGAGAAATTAAATTGTGATTGTCTAATACATCGAGAAAGAAGACCAAAAAACTAAGCCGCTAGCTTTTTTATACTCCCCCGCCCAAATTGTAACCTACATTTCGAACAATGTGTATAATATCATCTCTTTTAAAATTATTTAATTTACAGATTGATAGAAAAATAAGAAGAAAAAATTACACCGTTCAAAAAATAGATCAAAACTTCTACAAAACAATGTGTAACAAGAATATTTTATTTTATCAAATGGTCAACCAAAACGAGTAAATAAACAAAAGTTATTGAAAAACTATAATAGTAATTGTTTCTTATATTTTGGGAGGGAGGTAGTAGCATTTTCTTCGTTTCAAGTTATAGATTACAATTTGGTCGTTACAATCAAAATCAATCAAATTTGATCGTTGATTACTAATACATATTCAAGTTTTATAATGTATGAAAATTTAATATTTAAAACTTGTATCAAAATAAATTTAATCTAACGTATTTTTATTTAATACTCATTCCATCTTATTTATTTTCTATTCACAAAATCGAACTATAACTACATTTTTTTTCTTATTTAGCTACTCATTTGATAAAATAATCTTCTTATCACATCTTGTTTTTTAAAACTTTGGGTACAATTTTTAAATATATAAATAATATTTTTATTTTCATTTCAATTTTCAAATAAATCAATTTGAAAATAATGTAGTCAACCTTATACACAAAAATAGGAAATTCAAATTAGGACGGGATGCGTGTCTGATAAAATAATTGTTTATCCGTGAGGTCATATGTTATCATGCATGAGGAAGGGCATCACTGCGTCACTACCTCCTTCACGCCTATTGCACGGTTGCGAGTCTGATAAAATAATTTGTCGATGCCGACATTTCATTGGAGGGGTGTGGCCCCTTTTTGCGTGATGGTCATCCCATCACTTTTTTGTCATGCTCTTCATTCAAATCTCAAAACACACATGTTTCTATCACTCTAGGTTACACTTCATTAAGTAATGTCAAGTCCGTCATAACACATGGTCTAATGGCCAATAATACACCACTACTCCCCACTTTAATTTGGTCAACAAGAATTGATGGGAGAAATGGAGAATCCAAAGCTTCCAAGCCGTAATATACTCCCTCCGTCCCAAATTATTTGCCACATTTGTTTTTTCGACAGTCGCGGAAACTTTTGTTTATTTCTACGTTTTCATTGGTTATTTGATAAAATAAAATATTCTTGACACCTCTTATTTTGAAGAACTTTTCTTGTAGTTTTTTGAAATGTAATTTTTATTTATTATTTCTTTACCAATATGTAAATAAAATGAATTGAAAAAACTTGATATTTTGTCTCGGTAATAGAAATGTGACAAATAATTTGGGACGGAGGGAGTAGCAGTTTGCAAAATAGTACTAATAACGTTATTCATAATTTTATGTAACTCCATAATACTCCACAGTTCTACACCGACTCAATCAATCTTTGCAATCTCGACAGCGTGTCATGGGTCTGGCCGTCGGTCTACTTGGATTGATGTATTATTCGATTATTTTTTTAAGGTATGGAGTTCCATCATAGGAACACCGACAAATTATTTGTACGCCCTTTGGTCATTTGATTTATTTCTGATCTGAACAAATTCCATCAAAATATAAATAAATAAGAAGAATAAATTGAATAGAACAAGTTCTTAATAACCAAGCGACCATACAAATTGATTAAAATCATCATAATCTTTTGGGAGCAAAAAAATTAGGCAACATTTAATTTTCAAAGCAATATGGACCAGGTTTTTTTTACCACAAGAGTAAAAGAGCAGTCCTTTGAAGGACGCATTAAGTTTTCATCACATGACAATGCCATGGGAATGGCCAAGCTTGACCAACCTGCCATGCTAACAACATCTGACATGTTCAATATACCATAAATGTGCTGTTCCTTTGGCACACCTAGTTTTCTACTAATCANAAATGGTACCCTTTTTTAGCTTAATTTTTTTGGGAGAGGAGTAATTATATGGAACAAACAGCTGAAATGGAGCACCAATTTAACAAAACTACCAGCACAGCATTTTACATTCCTAGAGCTTAAGTACATGTTAATTGTCTCAGGGATGAAATGGTACATTAACCTTATGAACAATCATAGTCATAGCTTCCGAGCAACTATGTCAACGTTGCTGGATGTGCTGGAGAACGGCTTCACTACAGTACTTTTTGAAGTTCAGGCATTCCTCCACTAGAAAATCACTGCGATTTGATTCATAACAGCTCGTATTAGAAGGTTAAAGCCCGTCAAATCTTAAGGACATTGTTTGGAATGACTTCTTATTCCCATGAATTGGGGTGTGATATTGCCGGAATTGCTATGGGTTTTGCCCCATTTCAGAGAAATTGAGTGGATTTTGGTCATTCCAAACACAGTCTCGTCTAATTTTGGGTATTTCAATTGAATTCCTAGTAACTTAAGTCACAGTAATTTCTTCCAACCATTAAATCACTCAAATGATGTCTAAAAATGAATCGGGAGAGACTTACAAGATCCTTTCCGCCATTTCTGATAGTTCCCACCTAGGACTCCACGGATATTCAGTCATGGCAAGAGATTTGAGGGGCACGTTGACCGAATTGAAGTGCTATTTAGAGAAGCCAAACATGAAATAATTAACACAACAATAAGGAACTTGAAAATTTGGAAAGGAGAACCATGCAAATGTCGAAAACATTGATTATATATATAAACCTGCGTGCTCTGCAGCATCATGCTTGGACGTTGCTTGGGGAACTGAAGCGGGATGGAGACGTGTACCTAATAAATAATTTTAAAAAAAACTTCATAAGATGATATTAGATGCTACAATATGAAAATAATCTTCCCAAGAACATGTGCAGCTTCCTTTGAATAAACTGGAATCTTTTTTGTGGATGAAAAAAATCTTCCTCCTCAAAAAAGAGTCATGTTTTGCAAAGGTACAACTTAGAAATTCTTGGTAAGGTACAACTCTTAAAAATCATAAAATATAGAATTATTTTTAAATCCATTTGTTGGTTTGATTATATTTAACTCACTAAATTGTTTAGGACACTTTTATAGAGAAAAACATTCAATATGATGAATATTAGCTTCTTTTGCTCAAATATCTCTCTTTGGGAGAAAATTAAGTTTTAAAAAAGGGTTCTTTTTTGGGATGAAGGGAGAATTTGAAACTGGACTCTTTTTTCGGGTCAAAGGGAGTAATTATTATGCCAAGTTGCGAACAAACAAAGGAATGCTGAACAGGAAAAATTCAAACAGATTCAACACACAATAGTATCATACAGGGAACTATCCAAGAACCAACATGTTGGAAAGCAAGCAATGCATAACCTGTTGCCTATTACAGAGCAATATACAGTGGCATTATACTCTAATTCTGATTTCTGGTTTCTAGATATTCCTTCTTATGAAAAAGAAAATTGCATCCATGCACTAAAGTAAACATCCAAAGGAAAATACTCCCTCTGGTCCTATTTATAATGCACAGTTTTGACTTCCAACAAAACCAAGGAATAATTAAGATCATGTAAAATACTCCGTAATATCTTTTCTTAATGTCCGTATTTAATGGAACTTCACTATCCCCAACAATCTCAATAGCAAATAAGGTTACTTCATTCAATAGGCGAAGTTGTGGAAAAATAAATAAAATATGCATTGAAAGCATAAAATGACTTATATTTAGGACCATCCTGGTGTGCTCTATAAATAGGACCAGAGGGAGTATACATTTTTCAGTAATCCCATTTCATCATAATGGCCTTTTTCATCTGTCTCGATTTTTATGTTTTAAAATTGAAAACTTAAATTCCTAGTCGTTTCAAAAATAAATATACTCCTTAAGAAGAGAGCAATTGCCTTGGTTGCACAACCCCCTTTGTCTATAAACACAAACACACACATGACACATGTATACAAGTAAAATGAAAATCATTAGTATTGGATTTAATGTTCAAAAAACATTCTGCTCTATCATCCAGTCATTTACTAGGGTAAGATTAGCGTCCACCAGCAATGGAATTAAAATAGTCTCTGGTTATAATGTTTTAGCTTCAGGAAAAAAAGACTAAATCAAATTGGCACATTACACTTCACTTGGTTCTTTTTATGAAGTTTTGGGAAGTAAATGCAGCAACGCATCAAGGGTCTAAGTGAAACAACCTCTCTGTTTATTACAGGGGACTGGATACATTTGACCCCAAGACCCCAATTCCCTAGGGAATTCATGTAAATTTGTTTATAGACGTATAGGCAGAGGCAGATTAACATACCATAAAACTGAAAAGGCCTGATTGTGCTAGAAAGCTAGCCTTCCTGCAGAAAACCTGCAGGCATATTAGCAAGTAAAAGCTCAGCTTTGAATTTCTTTACCAAATTTCGTCATTGAATAAACAAAAATATCACACACCGGATCAGCTTCAAGTGGCCTTCCCAAAAGAGGAGCTAAGGCCATGATGAATTTCCTTCTGGTTTCAATGGAAGAAACTGCATCTTTAATCTATCACCAAGGAATCAAAGGGTGAAAAGTATAAATTACTTAATTGTAATTTTATTTACTACTAAAGCTGTCAAAGTGCAATTTAATGAGAAAACGTTCACACTGTCAAAAAACAGATGAAGCTAACCTGTGTTGCAAGCATGACTTCCAAATTTGGAAGGTATTCAGCAGTGCACCTATGGGAAAAAAATAGAACTGTGAAAATAAAATAAGGAAAATGCCTTCAAGAAAGAAAATTTGCTAAATGATGTTGCATTGATAACATATTATACATTCCATCCACCCATGAAGGAAGCCTGAAATCTTCAACAGAAAATACGGATTTCAATTCAGAAGAGGAAACCAACTTCAGGCGTGGGGCCAAGTATTTTCTGCCAACAGGAAATATGACCTGTTGCATTACCAAAACATTGAAGTAATAATGGGTAACTGAAAGAATAGAAAAGGCTAAAGACAACAAAAAGAAAGTTTGTGTGTAAGTGTATTACTCTTTTGACATGTAGTTCTCATCTAATACTATTATTTGTTACGTGAAGTGCCAGTGTCACTTGGTTCAAATTCATAAAATAATAACAACAACAAGAAGAAGAAGAAGAAGAAGATTAACAATAATACTGTATCCCTCAAATTAGAAAGCTTCCCATTACATAATTTTTTTTTAATCTGAAGCAAACAACATAGTAATCTGCTTCATTCATATCCATCAGGATTGAAATGCAACTCAAGCTACTTTTTTATGCTGATGCATTGGCAGTGGATAGGGGATACGATACATATAGACACAAAATAAGAAGGAAAAAAAAGTCTTAAACAGAAAGACTTGGAAATACAACTTACAGAGACAGACCTGTAAATATATTTTTTGCTGATGTTTCCAGGTTGATCCCACAACCATCTTGTTCAAGTCCAAATCCAGTAAAGGTATGGAAAATTTGACCTCTTCTGGCTACACTAAGTTAGTGGCAAAAACACAGCACAAGTAGTCAAGCATTTTGCACAGCATATCTTTCACAACTTGTACTGCAGAGTAATGTTTGTTTTCATAATATACCTTGTCAAACACGGAAGTCAAAAAATACTCAATTCCCTGCAAAAACAGTTTAAAATCCGTCTATTCTGTCAATGTGATAAATACAGGTTGAAATATAATGACACGACACCTGTTGGGACTGTTTCCCAAAATTGTCCAGCCCAAGTTGTTTTTTCAAGTTTTATAGGGTTAATAATTTTCTCTCAATTCGTGTTTTCACTTGGTCTTCCTTTTTTGTCTAGTGCATGGATTAGCATTTGGAAAGACAAATGTGGCGATTGGAATTATAGCATTTGGGAGGCTGTTCATTTGTCTTAGGTGGCGGCTTGGGCTTTAATCTAATGCTTTTGCTTTATATTTAAAGCCTTGCATAGGTTTTGGACATTGGGGGTTAGTACCGGAGCAAGAACAAAAACTTCTAGCCGTGTGTGTTCTTTTAAGCGAGAGGTTGTACAACTTGTTTATTCATACAATATTTTAGGGGTCTCTCTAAAGAGTCCTTGTGGGTTATTGGTGGATTTTTACCAATTGTACTAGGGGATTTAGAGGGGTTTTTCTTTGTACCAAAATATTGTATGTGGGTCTAGGATTGGTGCTGTAATCCTTGACGGTTAAGTTGTACTTGCACTATTTTTATAGTGGTGGTTTTATCTCTGTAACGAGGGTTTTTCCGGTTACAATTACAATAATCTTTGGTCTCATCTCTGTTTTTTGGCTTGCGGTTTCTTTGTTCTTAGACTACTAGTTTGTTCCTTCCGTTGCGTGGGAAGTTTTGTGCTAAATTTCCCAACAACACCCACATAAATCCTATTGTGTATACACTTATAGAGGATGCAATAAAGGCAAATACATTTCACATTTGAAAATCTGAGTCCCATTATCAAAGAAAATACAATTATATCCAACCATTCAAGTTTCTACACCAGACGATCTCCAGATCAAACAAATTTTTTACCTCTCTTGGAAGCATAGTGCTGAATTCGAACTTTAACCTGTCATCATCAACTTCTGCAACTCGTTTCCTTTGGTAAGCCATATACAACTCCCTACCAACAAACACACAAAACTTCAATCATTCCACCCCCAAAATGGGCTCAAGACAAACCCTAAAGTTATGAGAAGCCGTAACCTGAGCTCAAGAATGAGTGACAAGAGCCGAGAGGGGTCTTTGTTGTTCCAGTCAGTCAGTGCATTTTTCTTCTCCCCTGCATTGCCAACGCTATGATATGGCTGAAAGCTCTCGTCATCCGGCCCAAATATTACATCCGGTGCCGTGAGTGGATAAGCTGCATTGTATATAACATCCCCTGCTCAAATTACAAAATTGCAAGTCCTCATTAGTTACTATTCCACACACATGTCCAGAAACCTAAATCAGAACAGTGCAATACCAACATTTTATGATGTCAAGACAAAAGGGGATAGCTATGGTGAAGCGATCAAAAATACACAGGCCAAGGTTTTTGCCTCCACCCCACATTTGTTCTACCTGTAATACAAACATGAAAATTCATCACTGAGAGCTCATATGTGCGAGAAAGTGAGTGATAGGGAGACCGTGAGTGTGACCCCAAATGGATAGGGTTTAAGAACCTTGATTGGAAATGGACAGTTAGAGATGAGGTAATTGAGCTGAGCGGCGATATGAGGAGGAACGGGATCGATTGCCATAGCCTCAAATATAGAAAGCACGTTCTCTGATGTTTCCGGCGAAGCGCCGTCGGTCTCGTGGTTCCCGGCGACCCGCCGCCGAAGTCAGGCAGGACTACAAAACTTAACCGACTCTAGCCGGTTTACACCCATTCAAAACTTTTCACCCATATGCCATTTTTCCAGCGAAAAATGAAGGGCACATTTTTGAGTACTAGTGCATATTTTTATTTCTTGTTTATTTTTTTTTCATTTTTTCATTTATTTGTTTCTTTTATTAATAAAGATTTTTTAAATTTCATTTCAAAATTATTTTTATGATTTTTTTTAAAATTTAAAATTATTTTTTTGAAAAGAAATTAACATATACTGTATTTGTACGTCTCAAATTAATAATTTGTTTTTCCGAAAAAAACAAATTTTTTATGAAAACTTTAAAAAATGAGGACTAAAATAAGAAACAAAAAAGATGAATATCCTTTTAAACATCCCAATTCTAATGACTTTTTAGACGTTCCGAAATTGCTTTTTAAATCAAACTCTTTTTTTCATATTTTAATTTTTTCATTTTGTTTTTCCATATTTTTATTTTTTATTCTGGGTTTTCTTTTTGAACTTTCCAACAAATTATTCTTAAAAAGAAAAAGGTGAAAATGTTTAATTTGAGATAGATATAGTGTATGTTTTTTTTATTTCAAACATAAATAAATTTGAATTTTTTAAAATATTAATAAAAATTGAAAAAGAAAATTTAAAATAATCTAGGAAAAGGAAACAAAGAGATAAAAAAGAGTTAAAAGGGGAGAAACCCCAAATAATAAACAAAAAATAAGAAATGAGCATGAGTGACCCCTATAGTTTAGAAATTAGGTGTCTATGCCCCCTCTTCATCGGGAAAAATGACCAAAATGGGTGTGAGTGCAACATTTTGAAATCAAAGAGACCTTAGAAATAAGTTTTGAAAACAAAAGGAGTATTGATGTCAATTTTCCATGCTACATGAGGCATTGGAGCTATTTGGCCTAAAATCAAAATCAGATAGTAGCCCATTATGTGCTTACAATATAAAGTTGTAATTAAAAAATGTCTCAAAATAAATATTACGTTGTTTCAAAATAAATGTTATACTCTCCTGTCCTAAAACTTTCTTCCAATACATTATTCGCATGGTCAAATTTTAGTCATTTTTTTTACATATTTTGGATAATTATTTGATAAAATAAAATAGTTATATCATCTTGTATTTTATAGAACGTTTGATGTGGTATTTAAACATGGTAATTCCTTCGGTGCAACTTCTAAAGAGAGGGGTTTAAAACACCCTTTAATTGTTCCAATTATTTAATGACATGTGTACACATATGCCACCTCATTTAAGTATAGTCAAATTAATCTTTTTTTATTTTTGCAATTAAGTCGCAAGGTTATCTAAGCAAATTGAAATCCAATCTTTATTTCTCACGGAGTAAAAAGATTAATTTGACTATACTTAAACGAGGTGGCATATGTGTACACATGTCATTTAATAATTGGGACAATTAAATGGTGTTTTAAAACCCTCTCTTTAGAAGTTGCACCGAAGGAATTGTCTAGTTGCATGTATTCATTCACATGGTTAAACTTTATTTACTTTCATTCTACTTCGTATGTTTTTGTTACTTATTTGGTAAAATAACATATTAATGTTAATTCTTGTTTCTTAGAACTTTTAATATAATTTATTAATACATATCTATTCCACTATTTGTCCTTCTTTCTATCTTCTTTTCATCCAAACACATGCTTATATTTAAACAAAAATTTGTTTGTAAATAATTGTAATGTGTAATTAATCCGAAGTTCCATGCTCTTTTTATGCACCTTAGTATATTTATAGCATAGAAAAAAATAAGTATTTTACATAAAAAATATCCATATACAAGCTCGTGAACTATGAGAATGTTTACATTTTAAGTGTAAATCTTGAGACCTTGTGAGCATTACTCCTCCGTAATATACAACTTAACTAGTTTTCTACCCCGTGCTACGCACGGGCTTGTTATTAGGGCTCGTTGTCATAATGTTATTGATGCGATGGTTGAAAATGGAGAGTTTGGTTTATGATTTAATTTTCTTCCGTGCTACGCTTGGCATGTGTTAAAGGGTTGTGTATGTTTTGGTTTTGTAGGATTTTGAAAGGCTACATTGTATCTTTTTGTTTTGTGAAATGTGAAGAGTGATATTATTCTATTTTGGGGTTTTTTAATTTGATGTTGGTGGTTGAAGAGATTCATTTTTTGTAATGATTTTAAATGTTCATTTTGGCATTGTACCGGTTGATGTTCATTTTGGTGTTTTGATGTTCGTTAGGGATATATGACGGCTGGGCATCTGTACATGTTACTATTGAAGCGAGAATTGCGAAAGACGAACATCAATGCTTAGTGTCTGCACACATTGGCCTACACGTTGGCGTTTAATGTTTGAGGTCTGTACGCGTTGGCATTTACTGCCTTGTCACGTATGACATGTGTCAACACTACAACCCCTAAACTATCTTTTACATACATATATACCTACACACACACACACAAATATATACATATATGTGTGTGTGTGTGTGTATGTGTGTGTGTGTGCGTGTGTGTATATGTGTGTGTGTGTGTGAAACAACATAAATTTGGCTAGCCGTGATTTTTACCTTAATGAAGT